AAGGATCCCCTTACTTTATTAAGCTAATTGATTAAAACAAGCCACCATCTTGTGTGCGGTAACGTTCCATTGATTGTCTTTACAATTCGTGTTACTGGTTTTAACACACAGCAGTGGTTCAGTTTAATTGTGGTGCGGTGGCCTAGAGGTAGAGTTCTCGCCTCACAATGAGGAGGCTGTGAGTTCGATCCTAGTTAAAGGCAGATATTTCTGTCTCTGGGCACATTGAGAATACATCTGCCAAACAAAACTCCGCATTGGTGACAGGAAGGGCATCCGGCCAGTAAACACTCAGCTAGCCCCATTCAGTTGCCCCGACTCCACCCCGCAAGGAATTATGGGCTCGTTAAAAGGAGATGACGATGAGTGGTTCAGTTTAATTCAATGGGATGTTGCAGAATTATTGTTAACCGGGGTTTGCTGATTCTGGATTTCAGTCCAGAAATCTGCAACCTACTAAAGCTGAAAATTAATCATCCCTTAACTCGTGTTGAAAAAAGTTAGTGTAAAGTATCTCTGTAAGGGCTTCATAGACATCAGCTCCTGCTAGGGTCTAGGTCACAGTATTTGAGGCACCTAAAGGTAGTCCTCGACTTACAATAGTTCATTCAGGGACCGTTCGAAGTTACAATGGCACTGGAAAGCATGACTTAGGACCGTTTTTCACACTTACGACCGTTGCAGAATCCCCATTGTTCATGTGATTAAAATTCAGATGCTTGGCCACTGACTCATAGTTATGACCGTTGCAGTGTCCCCGGGGGAGGATGGGTCAATGTGATCCCCTTTTGCGATCTTCCGACAAGCAAAGTCAACAGGGAAGCCCAAGATTCACTTATAATGACCGTGTTGCTCACTTAACAACTGCTGGGATTCGCTGAACCCCTGTGGCAAGAAAGGCCGTGAAATGGGGCAAAATTCACTTAACGAATGTCTCACTCAACAACAGAAACTTTGGGGTCAGTTGTGGCCCTATGTCGAAGACTACTTGTACGATCATTTAAAGTAATTTGGAAAGTCACAAATTCTTTCTTCAGCCCTTTGCATGGAAGATTTCATAAGCATGTAAGAATAGTATTAGTATTAGTTTATTGTCATTGCACCTCGTACAACTAATTCAAACACCATCTTCAGTGCACATCATGACCATGAAAATAAACACAAACACACATCCTTCACGCTCCACACATTGAACCGAAAACCCCTGACATGGCACCAACACTGCACTATACAGTAGAATTCAAAAGAGCTGGGATAGAAGCTGTTTTTCAGCCAATTTGTCCTTGTTTTTATTATTCTGTACCATCTGTCAGATGGTAATAGTTCAAAAAAAAAAGGGGGTGCCCAGGATGAGATGGATCTTTGAGGATGTTTTGAACTTTCTTAAGGCAGCGGGAGCTATGAAGCTCTTCCAAAGAGGGGAGAGGACAACCAATGATCTTCTGGGCAATGACATTAACCCTCTGGAGTGCTGTCTGCCACTGTGCAATTGGCAAACCCTACACAGGTGCAGTAAGTTAAGATACTCTCTATGGTGCAGCGGTAGAAGGTCACCAGCAGTTTTCCATTCAGTTGTTGCTTCCTGAGAAGTCTCAAGTAGTATATAATCTCTGCTGGACCCTTTTGACCAAGGCTGCAATGTGAGCACCCCAAATCAGGTCCTATTTTATGGTAACACCCAGAAACTTAAAACTGGTCACTTGCTCCACTCAGTCCCCATTGATAAGCAAGGGCTGGATGTCTGATCTGTTCCTTCTATATAGTCCACTATCAGCTCCTTGGTCTTATTGGTGTTGAGGACCAAGTTATTGTCTCCACACCATGAAAGCAACCATTGGTCCACCTCATCTTAGTAGGCAGACTTATCCTCCCTGGAGATGAGTCCCACCACTGTTGTATCGTCTGCAAATGTAGCAATAGTATTACTAGCGTGAGTGGGAATGCAGTCATGCACATAAAGAGTATAGAGTAAGAGACTCAATGCGCAACCCTGTGATATACCAGTGTTAAGAATAAGGGCAGAAGAGGTATGATTACCTAACCCGACCCTCTGTGAGCAGCCAGACAGAAAATCCATAATCCAAAGGCAGATTGAATAAGAAAGTCCAAGGCCTTAACAGATTGTACCTCAAACATATCTTCCCTAAGGGGGCGGGGGCTTGCTGCTCTCTGAGCTTAGTTGTTTTCTTGCAAACCAATTCCCCCCAAAATGCTAAAGGATTGCTGGATGCCTGGCACCAGGGGTGGGATTCTACTGGTTTGGCCCGGTTCGGCTGAACTGGTAGCTTCGAGGATCATTTGTGAGTGAACTGGCTCACTCCGATGATCAGCTTTTGGGCCTGCCTGCCTGCCCAACAGCTGATCATCGGAGCGAGCCTGCCTCTATTCTGACCTTTATTTCCTGGTTTTCAAGCTCAGCTGCTTCACGCAGCACACCAGATTGCCGCACGCCAGCTGTTTAAACACACAGGGAGATTGCAGGAGAAGGCCGGTAGCAAAACCTCTGCACCTGCGCAAAGTGCGCGCTCACAAAACTGGTTGTTACACCAGTTGAATCACACCCCTGCCTGGCTTTCAGATAAACTGGCCATCGACAGGCATATAGAGATAAGCAACATCTACACACCATTCAAAAGACACAATCCCAAAGACAAAAACAAAATAAAAACACCAAAACACTTCCTCACCAACAGTCAACACTTGGACGAGCAGAGATTAACACTGACTAATATTAAAACAACAATCAAGAAGTAAACAATATCCCTATCAACTCAGACAGAACAAGCTAACAGGTTAACAACAGCCTAATCAAGGAGCCACCAAGACAACTCTTCACCAAGACTCACAGGGCAAACCCCTCATTTAAAGCGAGAGAAAGGTCCACCTCCTTCTAGGACTGATGATGTTATCTAGTTGGGTCACGAAACGTTTGCAAGAAAATCGCCAAACTCAGATAGCACCGAGAACCCTACAGTTCAACCCCAAGCAACAAATTCCATTGCTAACATTTTCTGTGACAGACTTTATCCAATTGTACAAATTCCCTTCTCTATCTTTAAAAAAAAAAATCTGCTTTTTAAACACCCCAAAGTTTCATTTAGAGGATTATCGTTTCCATGAATCATGTCAAAGTACCTTAGTGAGAATGCAGGGAGGTTTAAATAGAAGCTATCTCAATTATGCATGTGGGGAAGGAGTGTTTGGGATTGGATGGGACTTGATAGCATTGGAAATAATAACACTTTGTCTTGTTCAGATCTAGTTTTGAATACGGGTTTTGATTTAATTAATAATTGAACTCATTTTAATGTCTCGCCCTTGCCGGAAAGGTTTGATGGCTAATGCTGATGGATCACTTTGTAGCAGACAGCTTCTGGTGCTCTTGAATCCTCCCCAGACATTTATGGTTAATGGATGTGGCTTTTTAAAACAAAAACAAAAAACAAAGACAGTTATCTTCTAGTATAGTTTTCCTGACTGAAAATATATCTGCTGGAAAAAAAAACTCCGCATTGGTGACAGGAAGGGCATCCGGCCAATAAACACTCAACTCCATTCAGTTGCCCTGACTCCATCCCGCAAGGGATTATGGGGTCGTTAAAAGAGGAGGAGGAGGAGGAGGTAGATAGTGTTCCCAACCTGCAAAAAGCAACTTTGCTGGGGTAGTCCAACAACTGTGGGGGATGAATTAAGACTCTGTGAAGGAAGCATCTCAAGAAGATAATTGAAGACATCAGTCCAGCAAGTCCAGAAGTTAATTGAAGGAAGGAGGCTAATCCAAAATGTGGGAGGGATTTTGCATTTTCCCTAAGGGGGACCAGACACCCTCATCAAAATTTAAAGGCCTTGTTTTGAGAGATTCCAGACAAAGTTCGTTTCTTACAGAAGAAAAAATAGCAACCCGATTGGATCCACTGAGAGTATTGCCCAATGGCTCTTTAATTTCCCACGATGGACTTTTGTCATTTTAAATCCATCCCTGATATATTTATTTGTTAGTTAGCATCAGCCCTTGGAAGCTCATCGTAACAGTTTTTGTTTGAAGCTCTTTTGTTTGTTTTGTGCAGCGTTTTATTTCGAGTGGCATGCACAATATTGGGAGAGTTGTATGTGGGTCAGTTGTGTGAGGAAATGTTCCTGGTTCTCCATCTTTAACACCACCAGAAATATTGCAATAGGATTTTACCCCTTGGGTGGAAAAAAATGGAATTTTAATCTCCCATCAGCTAGAAGGCATGAAGCTGCAGAGCTCTGGATGAATTAGATAAAAGGCCTAGATATTAATATATAGAACACTTGTTTTGTGAACTCATGTATTTTAAAATGTAACTTGTAACTTAATATATATTTATTATGTATATGTATGTGTATGTGTAGATCTATCTATCTCATCCACCTATCTATATCTACCTACCTTATCTTTCTCTTATCTACAGTATCTATCTCAACTATCTATCTTATCTATCTCTTATCTACAGTATCCATCCATCCATCCATCCATCCATCCATCCATCCATCCATCCATCCATCCATCCATCCATCCATCCATCTATCTATCTATCTATCTATCTATCTATCTATCTATCTATCTATCTATCTATCTATCTATCTATCTATCTATCTATCCACACACATATACCCTGTTTCAGAGGTGGAATTCAGCAGGTTCTGACCAGTTTGGGAGAACCGGTAGAAATTTTGAGTAGTTCAGAGAACCGGCAAATACCACCTCTGCCTGGAGATTTTACAGTATCCTTCCCCTGCCACACCCACCAAGCCACGCCCACAGAACCGGCAGTAAAAAAAAAAATTGAATCCCGCCACTGCCCTATTTCCCCCAAAATACGACCTGCCCTGAAAATAAGTCCAAGTTTATTTTATACACGTGCGCCCAATATAAGCCCTACCCCCCCCCCCAAAATAAGTCCTAATTGAAATCCCGCCCACTCTCTGAGTGCCCTGTGTTTTAATCTGTGTTTCTTTTTTTGTTCCTTGTCCAGGGATTTCGCCTATGTAGCCAGAGACCGAGAGACCCGGATTTTGAAATGCCACGTATTCCGATGTGACACTCCAGCAAAAGCCATAGCCACCAGCCTCCACGAAATCTGTTCGAAGGCAAGTCCCCTTTGCTTCCTTCAAACCAACCGGTGGGCCTTGAGTGTCTGCTGTTCTTCACGGCCTCCTTCCACCGTGATTCTTCTTTGAGAAAGGGGCGCCAGCTTGTATACAGGTAGTCCTCGACTTAGAACCGTTCGTGGAGTGACCGTTCAAAGTTACCATATTTCCCTGAAAATACGACCTACCCTGAAAGTAAGTTCTAGCTTGACTTTTACAGGTGCTCCCAATATAAGCCCTACCTCCCAAAAAAGAAGGCCTGATTAAGATCCCGTCCACTCCAGAGTGCACGGGTAAAAATGAAGCTAGGGTGGGGATGGCGGGGTGGTGGAGCTGCCCTACTACTTACCTTTGGACAGGTGTAGCCAGGCCTCGCACACCCATTTCTTCTGCAGCCGGCAAGGCTGGAAAGGCTTTCCTGAAGGCCTCTAGCTGATAAAGCTCCGGATCGATCCAGAGCTCTGTTATTGGCTGCAGAGGCCTTCAGGAAAACCTTGCTGTCCACAGAAGAATAAGCTTCTGAAGGCCTCTGACAGCGAAAAGGAGGAGGTTGGGGGCGACTCACGCAAGTGAGGCTAGTCAGTGGATGACATCCCCCGAAAATAAGACCTGAAGCCTTTTTTTGGTGGCAAAAAAATACAAGACAGGGTCTTATTTTTAGGGAAACATGATCCAATGGCACTGAAAACAGGGACCTAGGACTGTTTTTCATACTTCGGACCGTGGCAGCATCCCAGCGGTCACGTGATCTCATACTTACGACGGGTTGCAGCGGTCCCGGAGTCCCGCGATCCCCTTTTGCGACCTTCTGATCAGCACAGACAAACGATTGAAGCCCGATTCACTTAACGGCCGGGTTTTTAATTGAGCCACTGCAGCGATTCACTTCACTATGGTGGGGGTTGGAAGGAAGGTTGTAAAATGGGGCTCACGTGACCCCGGGACCCTGCGACTGTCATAAATGTGAGTCAGTTGCCAAGCACCCAAATGTAAATCACATGACCCTGGGGGATGCCGCGACGCTCGCTCATAAGTGTGAAAAAGAGTCCTAAGTTGCTTTTTTTCAGTGCCGTCGTAACTTTCGAACGGTCATTAAATGAACTGTTGTAAGTCGAAGACTACCTGCACTTTCGATTCTCCCCTTTTCGCAAGACTGAGCCTTGAACCCAAACTCCATGCTCAGCAAAGCCTATTTTTAGCCAGTTCCTTTTTGAAGATTAAGAAAAGGAGATTAAGAAGTAGTCTAGTTCACTGTTAGATTCTGATGAAAACCTAATTAAAAAGGTATACAACTTCTTACTGAATTTGACAATGGAAAATCTATCCATATAAAAGGGAAATACCACTCATGCATCATCACAAAAACTCCAGAACCATAAAGCCTACAAACTTGAAATTTGGCACACATGTTCCTCTTGGCTTCTAGGGGCTCACTAAGAAAGGATTTTTCAAAATGACCATCAGAGCATTTAGAGTATTTCCTATATTATTATTATTATTAACACGCTCTGATGCTAAGGAGTTCTACTCCCCCTCCCTACCTGAAAAGAAATCTCTTCCAAATGCAAAAGACAAGCAGAGGAGAGGAGTTTCAGTTTCACTTTTAGTTTCACAGCACCAAGCAGTTGTAGTACAGAACAGTTGAGCTAAGCCACGCCCAGGCTCCTTGTTGTCTCCTTGCTCACACAGCAAATACTCCTTCAGTTTCCAAACAGCCCTCAACTCTCTCACACACTGACAGGACGCTAGCCAGATGAATACCGATGGATGCTGGTAGGCAGAGGCAGAATTTTCCCCCCTTATTTTCCTCCCCAAAAACTAAGCCTGACCACATAGTTTTGTAGTGAACCATGGGTATCGAGCTAATTTATTATATTTTGCTTTTTTGAAAGGTATATTTTAACAAAATAATCAGCAGGCCTTGAGTTTGACACCCCTGTTCTAGGACAACTTGAATTTAAGACCTGGGAGGTCTCTGGGGAGAGCATCCAGAGAACATGGTGGCTTGTTGTTCCCATGGCCTCGTTCAGTTTATGACAGGAGGAACATGAAGCTCAAAGGCTACTAAATGTATTTTCCTTTTGCCCTTTATCTTGGAGACCCCATATTTAGTGATGAGTCACGAACAGGCTTTGTCTTCAGAAACAGGTGGGGTTGCACCTGTTTTATCTGCTTTGTGCATTCGTGTTTGCTGCAGTGTTGAGTCCCATCACTGCCAAAAGCTGTTTTCTAGAATACTTGACTGCAAATAAATTGTGTCTATTCACACGTTGGTTAAATGCATATGCCTCACAGGCTGACAAAGATCTCCTTGGATCAAAGGAAAATAATAACATTCCCCAATCAGTTCTGTCCTGACGTTTCTCCCAACGTCCTGGAGCTGTTGCTCACATATGCATCCCGCCTAGATAAGCTTCATAAAACCCACGCCTGCGTTAGCTGAATGAAGCTCTTTCCTACAAACAGATTAATATCCTGGACCATTAATGACGTGACCCGCATAAAATTCCAGTGAGATTTTCTCCTCAGAAGTTCGGCACGCGTTCCTACATCAGCTGGGCTTCTTGTAGGCGAAGAATCCCTCAACTAAACTCCATTTTCTATGGTCTAAATCAGGGGTGTCAAGCTCAAGGCCCATGGACCGGATCTGGTGCACAGGATTCTTCAATCTGGCCCGCGGGGCTGGCCTGGAAATATCAAAAGGACAGGCTTGCAGTGCCTCTGCGGGCCAAAACAGTCCTTGGGGGAGGCCTGCGTGCGCCCTGTGGCCCATTTTCGGCCTCCACAGCCTCTGGCCGAAAACAGACCGTACGGAGACACCTCCCCCCCCCCCCCGTGGTCCATTTTTGCCCTCTCTGGCCTCCAGCAGCGCTCTGCCAGCTGAAGAAGGGTCGTGTGGAGGGGCCTCCACGCGGCCCGTTTTCGGCTGGCAGAGTGCTTGCAGGAAGTGTCCCTGCTGCCTCACAAGCCCCACCTCCGGCCGGCCCACGAAGGAGAACTACAATGCTGACTCCAATTCTCCAATGAAGAAACCCAATTTTGATACCTTTGGTCTAAAATGCTGATCCTCGAAAACAAAAGTGGGTGTTAACGAATAAAATTCTCGCCCGAAAAGGGGAAAATAAGTTGCATTCTCCTCCTTTTCTGCAGATTATGGCTGAACGGAAGAATGCCAAAGCTGTGGCTTGCAACCCATTGCAGGAACGGACAAACGTCGTTCTTGAGGTCCCTTTGCAAGGTAAAACCTGTGAGGATGCGTAGGTTTATTGTTGTGATGGAAGGATCTTTGCTTTTTAGGGTCACGATAGAGCAGTTGCAGCAAATAGACAGAGAACTGGTCCTTGACTTACAACCAAAATTGAGATCTGAATTTTCATCATTAAGTGAGACATTCGTTAAGTTCAGTTTTGCCCCATTCGTTAAGTGAGTCACTGCAGTTGATAAGTTAGGAACACAGTTGTTAAGTGAATCCGGCTTTCTCATTGACTTGGGTTGTCCGAGATCACAAAAGGGACACAGCAAAGATCATATATCTGAACCCGTTGCCAAACATCCAAATTTTGATCACTTAACCATGGGGATGCTGCAAAGGTTGTAACTATGAAAACCATAAGTCACATTTTTCTTTGCTGTTTAACTTGGAACGGTCACTAAGAGAACTGTTGTAAGTTGAGGACTACCTGTGTCCATTTTTAATTGAGTCAAAGGCTAGGCCCTTATTTGGAAAGTTAAGGTAGATGTTGGCAAAGGAGGAGCACTCTCCATCCCAAGCACGTACCCGATGGTACAACAATCGTGGCTTTCGGATATTTAGCTTTTTCAAAGATACTGTAGGAGAAGGAATGTAATGGCGGGGTGGCCTAGTGGTGAAGACACTCACCTCCTACTCGAAAGGTCGAGAGTTCAATGTCTCCTAGGGCTCAAAAAAAATATCTGCTGTGAACACCAGGTAGGCATCAGGGAGGGCATCTGGTCAGTAAACGCTCGGCTCCACCCGTTTGCCCAGAGTCTACCCCAAATTAAGGGATTACAGGGATTTTTTTTACTGTAGGAGAAGGAATGGCAGAACCTGGGGAGGGAGGTGTGAAAAGAGGAACCAGCATAGAATCCCTACGCAGTCACAAGTAAACTAACTGCAACCTCCCTTAAATTCCATTGACCCTTATCTAACTCTAACCAGGCGCTGATCATACATTTAGAAGATTTCTGTGCATAGGCTTATAGCCAGGGGTGGGATTCCACTGGTATAACAACCAGTTCGGGGATCATGTGCTTCCTGCTTCGCATGTCAGAAAGGTTTTATACTTAACCTTCTTCTGCATTCCCTGTGACTAAAACAGCTGAGCCGCAGCTGTGCTCTCGCAAAAGGGACTAAAGTACAGGAAAGAGCAGGGGGAGGCCCACATGCTTGTTGCAGCAAACTGGTTCTCTGCCAGCTGATGTTCGGAGCAAGCAGGTCACACGAACCAGTACGAACCGGTAGAACCCCACTCCTGCTTTTAGCAATAAATCAGTTTAATTGGACCTTGAGGTGTGCATCTGGTTTTTTTTTTCTGCACCTGATAGTCACAGCTGCATTCTGACTAAACCATTCATTGTTTGCAACCCTTGTGCTAGTCAGAAATGTGCGGATGTTGAGATGTGCTTAGGTAAGCTGCTTCCTTGACTCTACCTCATAACTGACACAAGAAGAGAAGGGTTTATTTTACGAAACGAAGATTTATAGCACTCTGTTCCTTAATTCCCCAGATATCAATTAGGATCCTTTTTTAATAGGACTTGGAGCAGAGGTTTATTGGAATCAATATTCTCAGCTACCTGATCTATCACTCTGGCTCCTGGCGTTAAAATAAAGGGAGGTGGCCTGGTGTGAATTGGATGAGATGAAATTGATGTTTTGCTTCCCTGCAGTAGATTTTCCAACACCAAAGACTGAGTTGGTCCAGAAATTTCATGTGCAGTACCTGGGCATGCTACCTGTAACTAAGCCAGTGGGTATGTAAGCGTATTTTTTTTCATGACTATCTATAAATGTGTTTGTGGTGATTCTTCTTCTTCTTCTTCTTCTTCTTCTTCTTCTTCTTCTTCTTCTTCTTCTTCTTCTTCTTCTTCTTCTTCTTCTTCTTCTTCTTCTTCTTCTTCTTCTTCTTCT